TGCGGCCGCCATGTGCTACGCCGATAGGTACAGGCCGTCCCCCGTCCGGGTTTGTGGGCAAAATTCAGCTTTTTTTTAACGTTTCGGGACTTAAAAACCGACAGCAGGGGAAAATAAATCGTATACGTTATTTTCATGGGAAATACCGCTATCATGAACCAGACATTTTCTGTCGCGTCAACGAATTTCGCGGCCGCCACATGCTTCATAATGTCGCGATACGGTAGGGAATTTTCAGGGTCGAGGGCTTTGGTTTACAAAGAAATCAGACAATTAGCTTTCTTTACACGACTTCAAAACGCTAGCGGGGCGCCCGATGTTCCACCAATGACAGCGATTCTCTCAGTAGCGTCGTGCGAAATACTCATTGTTTACTCGATTATCGCCCCATTCACAAGTTTTCAGAGACAATGCCGGCGGGAAAATAGACGCCACTAAGCCCCGAAATCAAGAAATTTTATCGAATTTTAGCGAAATTTTGTAGAAAAATCGGGATGCAACACCCTAGATTTGAAAATGAGTATGAGGGCGCTGAGCTAGGAGTATCAGGGCGCAGCGCCCTTGTTCCATCGTCTGGGGAGAACCCTGATCACCATGGTAACTGGTGTAGGGTTACTTCATGTTGCAATTTCATAGCAGGAGGGATTTATACTCCTGTCTGACCATATATACGAATGTGTTTGAGTAGGAATTAACAGAGCAGACCATATGTGAAGGTAAACATAGTGCATTTGCTTTGCAAATGTTACCTTTCTACTGTGATCTTGTATTTACTGTCATACATTTGTACCATCATACTCTCAACAGGAAACATCAATGTTTGTTTGATGGGAGACCCTGGCGTGGCCAAGAGTCAGCTGTTGTCGTATATCGACCGTCTGGCCCCCCGCAGTCAGTACACCACGGGCCGTGGCAGCTCCGGTGTAGGTCTGACCGCAGCTGTCATGAAGGACCCCCTCACAGGTTAGTGTCGCCCTCTAGCAGATTGTTGAAGAACTGCAGCGGGATTGGATAATGATACCAGAAGCATATCAGCAGAAACGTTAGATTAAACATTTCTTTGTAAAATGAAAGCACTGGCTTTGATAACAGTGAAATGTTTGTTTACCATAGGACAGACACCTTCGACGCTACATGGCAATGGCAATGCTATTTCTTTGTATTTTGTCTCTATAACTCCTCAAATACACATCCACATGTAACATCATCCGATCTGTTCTCAAATTCGATGTAATCTTTCAGAACAGATTCTTCCGCAATGTCTGGGTCCGTCTGTACTCAGTCATATTTTTTAACTGTTGTTATTATGTGTATTTCTATTCGTATGTTTTCTTTTATATGAGTCATAGATGCCTGAAAGAATAAAGAAAGAAAGAATAACTCATGCTACATGTCTTTGAAAATTGTCAACAAATTATTTGTGTCAAGTTGTGTTTATTCTTCTTTTTCAATGTCATTTTCTTGTTTCTCAGGTGAGATGATTCTGGAAGGCGGAGCTCTCGTTCTGGCTGACCAGGGCGTCTGCTGTATCGACGAGTTTGACAAAATGATGGACGCTGACCGTACCGCCATTCACGAGGTCATGGAGCAGCAGACCATCTCCATAGCAAAGGTAGGATAACACCTCCTAGCAGTTTGTTGCAGAACTGCAATGAAACAGCCAACAATTCTGAGTAGAACTGTTACGATAGCAGAATCCTACTTGGATTTCTATAGTTAAGTGAGAGGGTTCGACGCTGTATAATTTATAGTTTGGTGCACAAGCAAGTTACAAAAATTTGATATGTTCAGGTTCTGAGTACTACCTATATTATATGGGAAAAATTTTTTGGGTGCACCATATAAAACAAAACCTAATGTAATTAGATCTTACTGCTCCTCTTCTAAGCTTGAATCTGAAATGGGAGCTAACTTCAAAATCTTACTCAAGTACTACAACAAAGATTTAATTTTTTTACACACTTAGATGCCAAAAATATCCTGTATACTACGTGTATTATACATTTGATATGTACAAAAATACTTACAAAAATATTTGGGTGCACCCACAGAAAAAAATTGGGTGCACAGCTCCAATTTTGGGTGCACCCCACACAGTATTTCTAGCCCTGGAGTTGAAGTAAAGGTTTTAGATCGATTGATAACAATAATTATTGTAAATATTTTCTCCAGGCTGGAATTATGACCAGTCTGAACGCCAGAGTGTCCATCCTAGCGGCCGCTAACCCCGCCTTCGGACGCTACAACCCCAAGAAGTCCATTGAACACAACATCCAGCTGCCCGCGGCCTTACTGTCCAGGTTTGACCTGCTGTGGCTCATCCAGGACAGGCCAGACAGGGACAACGACCTCAGGTCTGGAGACTATTGTATGAATATGTGAAATAATTTATATTTGTATGTATGTGATGACATGTATATTATGTATTGTTATGTAAAATAGTTCTGTAGTTTATTATTGGCATGTGAATTTATTGTCATGAAACATGAAAGTTCACCTGTGTTGGTAGTTTCATGTTTAAAGTTAAAACTTTAGCTCCAACACAAAAAGTTCTCTCTCTCTTTCCAAAGCTCTAGGTGAGAAAACATCTTTGTGTTGGATCAAAAGTTTTAACTTTAGACAAGCATGTGAATTTATTTATAATATATTTGTAATATATATATTATTTCATATATTTGTATCATCATGTAAGTTCGAATCTGTGTTTGTATCATTTCTTAAGTTGAACAGGTTTTGAGAACATGTCCTGTTACCTCTATTCAGTAACATTTTGTCACAAAGCTGAAATGACAAAATAGATGAAATTGTCCTAACCGCATTTCATAGCAGTCCATGCATGGCTTTTTGAGCTATTGTATTCAACCACAAATACCTCTACAAACACGAATGCTATCAAAAACATAACCTTCTCTACGAAGGTAAAACTGAATGTGTCCTTTCCTTCCCAGACTTGCCCAGCACATCACGTATGTGCACCAGCACAACGAGCAGCCAGCAGCACAGTTCACACCCATTGACATGAAACTTATGAGGTAAGGAACAGTCTTTCTCATATATAAGCACTGCCACCTAGCAAGAGGACTCAAAACTGCAGCTGGAGGAAACTAGCTAGCAATCTTGTATGAGGATTTCAGGGTAAAACCTGTATTTCTTAGTTCTTACTTAGTCACCAGCTTTTGCATCCTCAGGGTACCATATTGCCCTGTACAAGAAAACCCTACCATGTCTTTTGCCGTGGTGTTTTCATAGGCCATACCAAGTAATTTTTATGGATGACGTCCGCACGTGCATTGATTTTCGCCTGTTCTAAAAAAAAAGAATCACCTCGTCCAAGGCTCTGGCCTGGGTGCCATCCTCCATAGCAGCTAGCAACAATAGGGAGCCGATGGTATAACTACAGAGGATGGCACCCAGGCTGCCGAAGCTCCACAGAACTCAAGAACTCAGTACAGTGCCGACTCATGAATGCCGCAAAAGGCCAGCATGTGCCGGCTTGTCGTCAAAGTCTTGCAAATTCACGATACCAGCTTTGTTTTCTTGTGGTTTAGCAGAATTATTTGGGGCTGGATTTTTTTTATTCGCCCGTGCACACTAGTTTAGGGGTCTTTGGAGGATGCCGTCCATAAAATTAAGATAGTTTGGCCTTACCAAATTGTCCACCATCTTTTGTCATCTCTTGAAGGCGCTACATCGCATTATTAGCATTATTTTGGCTGGATTTTTTTTTATTTGCCCGTACGCACTAATTTGGGGGTCTTTGCAGGATGCCATCCAAAAGATAAAATTAGTATGGCCTTATCAAATTGTCCACCATCTTTTCTCGTCTCTTGAAGGCGCTACATCGCACTCTGTAAGACCAAGAACCCTGTGATACCGGAGGACCTTACGGACTACATCACCGGCGCGTACGTCGAGATGAGGAAGGAGGCTCGGAACAACAAGGACTCGACCTTCACGTCCGCAAGGTCACTGCTGGCCATCCTGCGTCTGTCCACCGCACTGGTAAGTCCTTCAACTTCAAACTTATACGACCTTGAAAAAGGCTAACTTAAAGGTAATCTAATTTGATTTTGTGATAAGGCCACACCAATTTAATTTGTTGGTTCTCAGATTTTTTCAGAAGAAATATGAAGCGACAGGGCGAAAAAAGATAAAAACAGGTTTAGGCATCCTTTTATAGCCCCAAATGCTACAAAAGGAGCCATGGGTTAATATTTGAACAATAAATTTTGAACTTTTAATCAAACCACTGCATTGATAGATGGAAAAACTGTAATGACTAGGAAGAAAAGGACTTTCCTCAACTGTTGGGGGTAAAATATGAGCATTTTGAGTTTCTGATTATTCAAGGTAATAACTGGTATCTTTGTACAGTCCTACTTTTTTTTAACTTACCAAGTTGAACATTATCTGCAACTACTTTGTATGCAGAAGTGTTCTTTGCATTGTTTGACATTAATATTTGACGCATCTGTCTAGACTTGTAGCTTTTATTGTTTGTGTAATTTTTACATTATATGAGGGAAATTGGATTTGTACTTGGTTGGAATTTGGAATGCAAACAGAACACGTGATATGGTAGTACATTACCTAGTATATCTCTATGTTAAAAGACAGACATCATATTATGAATTGTTATTGTATCTACGTAACAGCAGAAATCCTATTATACTTTTTGTAACCACCTTTCACACAACAGACGACCCAAATCACCACAGCCTTAGTTTCCAATGAGATCGCAGGACTCGAAATACTGGGTGCAAGTGCACCTCAGTGCACCCAAATTTGGAGCTGTGCACCCAATTTTTTTCTGTGGGTGCACTGGTGCACCCAAATCTTTTTGTAGGTATTTTTGTACATATCAACTGTATAATAGTATGCAGGATATTATTGGTGTCTAAGTGTCATAAATAATAAAACCTTTGTCGTAGTACTTTAAGATTTTGAAGTTAGCAGTTAGTAGTTTAAGATTTTGAAGTCAGCTCCCATTTCAGATTCAAGCTCAGAAGAGGAGCAGTAAGATCTGTTATTAGGTTTTGTTTTATATGGTGCACCCAAAAAATTTTTTGTGCAGCTAATTTTTTAGGTTGGGTGCACCAGAAATTCCCAAAAATGAATTTCGAGCCCTGTCCTTAGTTTCCAATGGGATCGCCTCTCCCCCCTCAAATTGCCGGAATGGGCCAAGCAAATTGCATGACATAATGAGATAATAACCTCCGACCCGGTGTGAAATATGCAGGAAATTGATAGAAACCAGATTAGCCGGTACCCAGGGGCCCGCGTTTTGGGAGGGAACGTGTGATTATGTTCTCCCCCCGCCCGTAACTCCGCCGGTTTCATCATGAAGAGTGATTGCGGTAACGAGATTAAGAGAACCAATTGCCGACCCCTTTCTTGTCCCTAAGTGGTCGAGAATTAAGTTAGCGTCACACACAAATGGGGCGCGGTATCGGTTTATACCCCCGCCGCCGGGACATTTGGTGGCGGGAAGAATATGAAGAAATGCGGAATTGAAAAACGAGGAGGGAAATTTAATTTATTTGGGTAAAGCATCGATTCGGATGTTGTATTTGTATGATATAATATTGCTAGTGGATTTGTCATATGGGTAGTTTACAGTGGGACCTCAATTTTGTTGTCTCATTTGAGGGGTGTGTTCTTGAATATGAAGAAATGTGGAATTGAAAAACGAGAAGGGAAATTCGATTTATTTGGGTAAAGTATCGATTTAGATGTTGTAATGTATGATATAATATTGCCAGTGGATTTGTTATATGGGTAGTTTAGAGTGGGACCTCAATTTTGTTGTCTCATTTGAGGGGTGTGTTCTTGAATATGAAGAAATGTGGAATTGAAAAATGAGGAGGGAAATTCGATTATTTTGGGTAAAGCATCAATTTAGATGTTGTAATGTATGATATAATATTGCCTGTGGATTTGTTGTATTGGTAGTTTAGAGTGAGACCTCAATTTTGTTGTCTCATTTGAGGGGTGTGTTCTTGAATATGAAGAAATGTGGAATTGAAACACGAGTAGGGAAATTTGATTTATTTTGGGTAATGCATCGATTTAGATGTTGTAATGTATGATATAATATTGCTAGTGGATTTGTTAGATGGATAGTGGAATCTCAATTTTGTTGAATCTCACTTGATGGGTGTGTCCTTGCATTTGTTCAAGAAGAAGACATATCTTTTTTTGTTTGATTTTTTCTGTAAAAATTTCTGAGAACGCCATTAAAAGCTGTTACGAATTTGCCACAATTTAGAAATTATAGTTTTCCATGTCAGATATGAAGAAAAATTTAAAACACAAATGCATATCTCTTGTTTCTTGTACATTAAGAGGCTTGCATGAGATCTAAACTTGTCATGATCAATGTACACAGCTTGTTGCCTGCAGTTCTTTTAAAACCTGTTAGATGTCTCTTTTGTCAGTTTCGTACTCCCAAGATCCCAATATATTCACCATCTTCAAGTTTGAGGCAATTTTTCCCAGGCTACATTCGATATCCCTGCAACTACCTTTATCCGATGAGTCACAAAAACATTACACTGATAAAATTGATGCATCAACAGAGACCTTTCCAAATGATGAATTACATGTGATAAGATCTCAGCCTTATTATCATACAAATGCAGTTTGGATACCGCCAATGCAAAGACAGATTGGCAAACGCATTCACAATAACATTACCGTTCCTGATATATCCGTTTTTAATGTTTTACTCAATTATACAAATTCTTCCTCAGTCTATACAGATATGCGGAATAATTTAAACATTAGGTTGTATTTTATTTTATTTTACAAAATGAAACAATCTTAAAAGGATAACATGTATTATAAATATGGTTGAGTGCTTTTTATTATTCTTAATGGAGAAACTGTTTGGTTTAATGTTATAATGCATTAAGAGCATGGATATAAATGTGTATGCTGTTGTCAGAGTTTACAAGATTACACTAGGAACCCTGTCCCCAAGGGAATTATTAATTAAGGGAACATTAGCATACCATAAAGTAGGCAAACCACTAATCACTTTCGGGTAAGTGGTAGGGCTTGGGTTAGCTGATTGAAAAGACGAAATGCCTTAATATCTACAGATGTGTGTACGTTTCATATGTTGAAATATTGTTTTGACAATTCTGGTTTAGAATCACTGAACGAAAGAAATATATATTAGGCAATATTATAATTCAGCATAATATACTGGGTACGATGATTTTTGATGAATCATATTCTACTGTTAAAAGGCCTAGAAAAAATGTTGTGTTTTCTGTTTCAGGCTGAAAAAGTTAGGGTTGGTACAAAAATGTAGGTAGGGATTATTTTAACTTATACAATACAATGTAACAAAGTAAAACTTGCATGATGACACTTTTATTTTCTATGTCAATGTTAGAAAACCAATTGTACAACATTTTATCACTCAGGTGTCAGATCATGGAGCTACAAAAGGTCAATCAGCTTGTACATTGTATTTATTTCCCCCCAAAAGAAGTCTAGGGTCAGCAGGTTTTTCTAGGGTCGGTAACAGGAAACACAATATTTTTTCCCTAGGCCTAACTTAAAGTTACTGAGATATTCCAGGGTCACATATTTTGACAGGTTGACTACCCTCCCATGTTAATGCACTAGTTTGCAGAACTCTCGCCGCCATTAATATTTCAGGCTCATTACGCAGTCTCGTTAACTAATGTGCTGGGCAGTGTAGTCGCTGGGCGTCCGCTGCATTAACTATTCAGCACCCACAGCGCCGGCCGCGTACGCGCGTGGTGATGGCTTCCTTCCGTGTTGGTCGGTCGTTAGACGGTTTGTTTCACCCGCAGGAAAATTCGCCCTATCGAAGGTTGCAACAGATTAGAATTCAGGGTGAATACTTAGGCACTAGTAGAACTTGTCTGTAGTAACCATTCAATGGTTGAAATACTTACAGTCTACTGTAATATTGCAGAATGTCAAAATTTTGTTCTGCAATTCGAAAATTCGAAGCTAAACCCATGGCATTTTCAAAATTGCATGTTGAAAATGACTAGATATTACAGAGTCAGTACTCAGTAGTAAACACGAAAGCTCTTAAAAAATGTTGAACCCCTAGCCTGATTTTTTCAGTCTGTAAAATTGCAAGTTGCTTAATTTTTCAGCTAAAATAGGTTTGGTAAACAGGCTAGTGACCACTCAATAGACTTGAAGAAAGCGTAGAGACAATAGGCTGGATTTTTAATGTTTGGTTCAGTGGAAAAAGTAATCGAAGGTAAGAAAAGTTGTCACAATGTCCAGGTTCCCCCTTTGCAGAAGTTTTCAGTAGTTGATGCTATTTGTGTTTTTTCTTGGCTATTGTTGTCCTGTACAATTTTACGGAGTTGAAAAATTGGGAATAACTGTTTTAATACCTGAATACTGTAATACCTAAATGCAGAACTCCCTTGACCACTCTTCTATTAAGACCAACTCTGTCCATCCCTCGGGACAAATAATGCGTCCGCACAACATCTGTAAGGCTTCCCCAAATGACCGGTCAGTAGGGAAAACCTCCCAAAGGTTTTCACTCAACAACCTGTAAAGAAATCGCCACAGTTTCCAACAGAACAAAGGGATGGTATTTCTGGGTTGATCAGACTGATACCTGACATTACACCTAACCCACTCCTATGGGAGTGTTTGGATGGGCTCACCATATGCTTTCTTCCCAATCATCACTTGTAGGGCCTTGTAGGAGTACGTTAAGGGCTCGAAATGGCCAACTGCTTTCTGCAGTTTGCAGAAAAGTTATAATAACTACATGTAGAAAGGTAACATTTGCAAAGCAAATGCATAATATTTACCTTCGCATATAGTCTCCTCTTTTAAATTCCTACTCAAACACAACATTCGTATATATGGTGACAGGAGTCTAAATCCCTCCTGCTATAAAATTGCAACATGATGTAACCCAACACTAGTTACCATGGTCACAGGCATCTGGTTCAGGTCATTGACCTAACTGTTTGGAGAAGAGAAAA